AATGATGAATGAATAAATAAGTGAATGGAAAGAATCCAATAGGCCCTCAATTATAATGTTAGCAACAACAACAACAAAAAATCATTGCATATAAAGAATAACTAAAGAAGTAACATATTTCTTGGGATTTGGAATTTTTCTTACTTGCTATTTATGTAAATGCCTATCTTTTCCTCCATCGGAATAAATTATTCTATTAAATTGAAAAAGAAAGAATGCACATGCTTTATTTTTGAAAGCACAGAGAAAGGGAAGAAGCTAGGAAAACAAAAGTCTGACTGTGAAGGCTGGTCCAGCATAATGACTAGCATGGGTTAGCCTGAGTGATAGTAGTAATGAGAGAAAAAGAACAAAGGTGGAGAACCTGAAGTCTGCTAGAAGGAAAAAAAACAGACCAAGATGATTTGTCCTGCACCTGAGAAATGAGCATGGGTTTAAGAATGAAAAGACATTCCTTATAGCTGCCATGAGCAAAGCTCTTTCAGGTAATAAAAACTAGTCAACTACAGTTGGATCACTGTACCTTCAGTTACTGTGAAGTGTCTCCCAGGAATAAAGGTAGGATAAAAGGGAAGAACATGAGTGTTTTTTCACCTTCCTGCAGTAACTTTCATTCATCTGCTTTCATTGTTCTGGAATAATTTAGTGAATTAAATAGAAAAAGAGGCTCAGAGAACACAGACCACCTTATGTCCAGAGACAAGGAATAATATACCTTTACCTTGACAATTGAATTCTAAGCTTCATTCTTTTACTAATGAGCTGTATAACCTTGGGCTATCTGGACACTAATTCCCTCATAAGTAATAATAAAAAGGTTGGACCAAATGATCTACATGGTTTCTTCAATTATCAAATTCTATGGTTTCTAAAAGAACTAAATTCTACTCCGAGACAAACCCTCCACAGCATCACTACTGACTTAGTGCTTATATATTGAGAAGTAGCAAGTTACAGGTTTTAACAAAATAAGAGGGAAGTAGTGAATGAAATCATTCTCTAAATTTCACTTATGGTTTCATCAAGAGTTTATATTACAGATAGATAGATAGATAGATAGATAGATAGATAGATAGATAGATAGATAAGCAAAATTTTATTAATTTAATGTGCAAGAAAAAAGTAAAATTTCAAGTATAGTTATGAAATGATACATTTATAAAAAGGTTTTAAGAAAGGATAATGGTCTTCACCCAGATAACATAAGACACACATGCTCAAGATAATTTAAGAGTAATTCTTAAATGGGATGCAAAGTTGACAGAACAACTTCATGTAAGAGTGCTCCAGTCTTCAGAGATCTTTGGAGAATAACAGATTTCCTATAGGACTCTGCAATACACACAGCATTACTGATTCTGCAAAACACTCAGTCACTGAAGTCTAGGCTGTACATGTCTGAGCAAGATCACCTAAGGCTCACTAGTTAAAAGCCACGTGCTATAGAACTGACTGGGGAACAGAGTCAAGAAGTGCTGAGGAAAAGCTGTGTCAATATTGGATTTTCAGCCCTGTCCAAGTGGACTTAATACCTAGTTGCTACCTTGACATCCAGTTGAGACTCCAAAAAGGCTGCTCTTCAGGAGTAAGAATTATGCCAAGAGGAAAACCTACTTTAGACTCACCCAACAAAGCCTAAAACTAAGTAAGCTCTGACCTTTGGGGAGACAATTTGGAGAATGAGACCTACAAAGAGGGGTTTAGGAAACACCAAAGCTTTTCCACAGTTTCTCCCTTACAAAGCATAAACTAAGTTCCAAATGATCAGCCAATAATTAAACTGCCTGCTATAAATTTCTTCAATGTCCACCTTTCAATAAACAATGTCCAAACACACAAAGAAATGGAAAAATACAGGGGTGGGCAAAAGTAGGTTTATATAGTACAGATAAATAATACAATAATAAATAAATAATATTAGAAGAATAAACTGTGTTTCACATACTTGCAACTGCAAACCTACTTTTGCCTACCCTTGTATAATCCAGCCAAAAAAATGAACAAACTAAAAGAGATAGAGAACATCCTCCCTCACATTCTATAATACAATGTGTTACTTATTAAACTCTTTGATTTTTGCTAATAAAATGGGTAGAAAGTGATGCCTCATTATAATTTTAACTAACATTCCTATTATAAGTTGAGCATCTCTTCATATGTTTAAGAAATATATTTATTTCCCTTCCTCTGAATCTATTTTTGTATATATTTTTATTGATTTCAGAGAGGAAAAGAGAGGGATAAAGATAGAAATATCAATGATTACAGAGAATCATTGATCGGCTGCCTCCTGCACACCCCCTACTGGGGATCAAGCCCACAAGCCAGGCAGGTGTCCTGACCAGGAATAGAACCGTTGACCTCCTGGTTCATAGGCTGACACACAACCACTGAGCAACACCGGCCAGGCTCCTCTGAACCCTTTACATGCTTTGCCCATGTTCCTACTGACCAACTGAATGACTGAACTTTTCCACATTGATTTGCAGATGTTCTTCATATTTCAATAAGTTAATTCATCATAGGATAAATAATATTTTTAGGATTTCTCACTTAACTAGTGACTTTATATACATTATTTGTTTTTAGGCTGAAGTTTTAAATTTTTAAGTATGAACTAACTCATCATCTTTACTTTTAAAGCTTCTGGGTTTGGGCTGAAACTGGTTTGGCTCAGTGGATGGAGCGTCAGCCTGCGGACTGAGAGGTCCCAGGTTCGATTCTGGTCAAGGGCATGTACCTGGGTTGCGAGCACATCCCCGGTGGGAGATGTGCAGGAGGCAGCTGATCGATGTTTCTCTCTCATCGATGTTTCTGACTCTCTATCTCTCTCCTTTCCTCTCTGTAGAAAATCAATAAAATATATATTTAAAAAAAAAAAAAAAGCTTCTGGGTTTGGTATCACATTATTTTAAATAGGCTTTTCTGATTCAAGACCACAAAAAGAATATTCATTTTTTTCCTCCTAGTACCTTTAGCATTTTGTTTTTATTATTTTTCTGTTAATCCTCACCTAAAGATATTTTTTCCATTGATTTTTAGAGAGAATGGAAGGGAGGGAGGAAAGGAAAGAGGGAGAGAAACATGGATGTGAGAGAGAGACATCAATTGGTTGCCTTCTGCACGCACCCTGACAGGAGCGGGGGATCGAACCTGCAACCCAGGTACATAGCCTTAACCGGGAATCAAACCCATGACTCTTCAGTGGTTGGCCAAAAGTCTAACCACTGAGTAACACCACCCAGGGCTTATTTTTAAATACTTGATCCATCTAAAATTTATTCATTTATAGTATATGAAATATAGATCCATCTTTGTTTTCTTTTCAAATGACTACACAGTTGTCCCAATACCATATACTTAAGATAAAAAATTTTTTCCTGGCTGATTGGCTCAGTGGTTGAGCATCGGCCTATGAACCAGGAGGTCACAGTTGGATTGCCAATCAGGGCACATCCCTGGCTTGTGAGCTTGATCCCCAGTGGGGGGCATACAGGAGCAACCTATCAATGATTCTGTCTCATGACTAATGTTTCTATCTCTCTCTCCCTCTCCTCTCTGAAATCAATAAAAATAAATTTTTTTTAAAAGATAAACAATTTTTTCTGCACTGCTAATAATTTAAGTTTACCTTAAGGCAGACAGAACCAGTCACTAACAAAGAAGATTAATAAGAAAGACTATATTAACACTGTACCTCATACTCTGATTCCAGTGACACTTGATTCATTTTCAGTTTTTTTTCTAATTCAGGATCAATCTGTAAAAAAGAAAGACGAGCCATATGTTAAATCTGTAGAATTAATTTTTAATTTGAAGTTATATAAGTGACGGCTAGGATGGCATGGCAGATTACAAACACATGGCAAAATCTCCACCATCCATCCATCCATCCATCCATCCATCCATCCATCCAATCGCATAACGGTAACGATGTAGTAGTACCACTACCACTACTAACAGCAGCTAATACTTACTGAGTACTTGTTATGTGCCAAGCATTTTGGCACATACAATATTATCTCTTTTAATCCTCACAAAACCTTAGATAAGTATTATTGTTATGATCACAAGTAAGGATAATAGGACACAGGGAGTTTGAATAATTTGTCAGAGGCAGAACTTGACTCTGAACCTTGGCCCTCTGCCTCCAGAGGTCCATGCTATTAACCACCACCCTAAATTATTACTTAGAAATGTTATAAAAATACTAATAAATAGAATGCTGCTCTTAAAAACAAAACAAAACACCTTACATATGCTGTAAACAAAGAAGTATCTATGAAAAAATTAGACAGGATTTCACAGTAGTAAATAGGAGTTGATGCCATATTACCTGTGTATGGCAAAATCTTTGGGATAGCTGAATGTTACTGAACACAGCTTAAGATCAATTAGTACTAGAAATATAACCTGAGGATTACACTAGACTTCGAAGAATTTAACTATTTCCCCATCACAGCAGGATCGAAATCAGCCATTCAAAGCAATTGAAACACAGAACCAGGAAGAAACTTTAGTAGTTTGGGGGGCCCATAGGTTTACCACTTCTTCAATGGCAAGACTCAAATGGCTTGTCAGTTGACTAAAATATTCCATCCTGTGAGGACAGGCTTGGTAAGATGAGGGTTTCTGGAAGCATACAGAGGTTTAGTCTAGTCATCAAGGGTTGTGTTCCCATATGTTTTTTAAAATATATTTTTATTATTGATTTCAGAGAGGAAGGGAGAGGGAGAGATAGAAGCATCAGTGATGAGAGAGAATCATTGAGCGGTTGCCTCCTGGGGATCGAATCCGCAACCCAGGCATGTGCCCTGACCAGGAATCGAACCATGACCTCCTGGTTCATAGGTCAACGCTCAACCATTGAGCCATGCTAGCCCAGCTAGCTTTCTTTTTCAGTGATGTCTGGATCATACTGGCATTGGTTATTATAATTTTTCTCATTTCCATTATCTGAATCTTAGAAAACATGGTCACAGTATTTATAATGTTAAAAATTAAACTAGCACTTTTTTCTTACAAAGTACAACAAACAAAGCAAAAAAAAAAAAAAAAAAAGACTGGTAATGCTCAGGATTACAACACACTTAACTGCACACTTATATCATATTACTTGGCGTGATGCAACAATGGATGATCTATTATTGTGAATCCATGCTTGTCAGCATTAGGAGTCAGGAGATAAAAGAGCAATGGCCACTAAGGAAGGCAGATAAACTATGTCATATCTATTTCACAATAAAAATTGACAGCTATTGCTTTCAGCTTATATTCTTAGCCCATCTCATGGTTTCTATTTTTTCTTTTCCAGTTAACCATTTGCCTGCCATAAGCATCTATAGACCAACTTTAAAATCATTTTTCGTGAAAATTTTCAACCGAAAATATTCAAGACCACCCGAATTGTAATATGTTTATTTTTATAATATTCGTTGCAAATTGATTTTTTTAAATTAAATTCAAAATATCATGGTGTGTGGGAATGGTTTCTGTTTTGGACATGTCGCAGTTAACTGGTTAAAACAATTTATTTTTAATTATAGTTTACACACCTATTGGTTTCTGCTTTACAACACAGTGATTCCAACATTTATATACCTTTCAAAGTGATCACCGCAATAAGTCTAGTAACCATCTGTCACCATACCTAGTTACCACGATATTATTATGATCTCATGGCTAGATGGGCCAAGACATTCTAAAGTTGTAGAAAACTCTGTTCCCTATGCTGTACATCACATCCGGGTGTCCTCTCATTGCTTCTTTTCTTCCCTTTCAACCTTCTATACATATCACTGAAAAGCAGGAACTTTTATGTCCGGGGATGCTGGACTTTCAGTCCTAAAATCAGGACAGTTCCAGGCAAACTAACATGGCTGATTACCCTGAAGCAATACCATCTTTATCTATCCATCCCCCAACTTCTCTACTGAACTTATCCTCTCTTGCTTCATCTCAACCACATATGTCCTCTCAACCCCACTTTTTACCCCCCTTGACTTTAACCTCAGCAAACTCGCCCTCTTGACTCCCCCTTGATCTCAACCCTTGTAGCACCTGTCAATCTCAACCAATCTTATCCTCTCAAATTTAGTCCACCTCATCCTCTCTACCCTGTTTGAACACAACCTCACCCAAACAATGACTCTTGACTTCACCTCAGTTTGACTTCTCAACATCAACCTCTCAATCTCAGTAGGTCTTGCCCTCTGATCCTTCTCACCTGAACTCTGTCCTCCCCCCTCCTTCCAGACCTTGACCAACCATACCTCTCATCCTGTACTCTTGTTGCTCTCTTAACTTCAACCAACCTTGTCTCTCACTTCAATCAACCTTTTTCTCTCAACTGTACCTAACTTTGTTCTCTTTACTTTAACCTTATCTTCTAGACCCCATTATCCCAATCTCCCTCATTCTCTTTCCTTAACTAAGTGATTACCACCACCATTTATCCAATCCTCATAACCAAAACTTCAAGTCATCTGAGATTTATTTGTATTTTTATATAATGTACATCAATCACATCAGTCACTAAACACTATCAATTTGCTGCTAAACTTTTTTCTGGAACCCGTTTATTTCTCTCTATCTTCATTGCACATGTTTTATTTCAGGTTCCATTACTGTTCATCTATACTACTGCCAAAGCAACTTCACCTCCAATTGAAATAATCTCTTCCCTCCATCTTGCTCCCCCAAACACCATCATCCATCCTGTCCTCTTCTTACAGGAGAGATATTTCTAAGATGAAAATCTGACCATATGCCTAATACTCCCTCCCCTCTGTGTTATAGAACAATAATCATTTCCACCATTTAGCTCTTACTCATTCTCAAAACTTTAATTCAAAGGTTGATACCTCTAGGAAACCTTCTTGAATACCCTTCCCAAGTCTAAACTGAAGTTCTAGTAATGTTTTATGCAAAATTCTAATATAGCATTTTTCTGAGCATATATATATATATATATATATATATATACATAGATATACACACACACACACATATATATAAAAGCCTAATATGCTAATTGTCCCTCCAACCATTCGACCAGTTGCTATGATGCGCACTGACTACCAGGGGGCAGACGCTCCAACCAGTAGGTTAGATTGCTGCTGGGGTCTGGCTGATCGGGATTGGGCAAGACAGGCCGAACACACCCTGGAGCCCCCCCACGGTCTCTCCCTGGCCCCGATCATGGACCAGTGGGGTCCCTCGGCCTGGCCTGTGCCCTCTCGCAACCTGGGACCCCTCGGGGGATGTCGGTTTCAGCCTGATCCCCGCAGGCCAGGCCGAGGGACCCCACTGGTGCACAAACCCACGCACCAGGCCTATAGTTGTTATATGTTTGGGTACGTATTTATATTTAGATGTCTTCCAATCTTGATTATGCAATAAGCTTTGTAAGAACCAGTTTCTTAAATCTTTATCTATAAGATCTAACACATAATAATATGACAAATATTCAATTATTTTTCAAATATGTACATGTCTGCCCTGGCCAATGTTGCTAAGTGTTTATAGCGTCGGCCCAAGCACAGAAGGGCTATGGATTCAATCCCCAGCCCTGGTCAGGGCGCGTTCAGGAGGCAACCACTGGATATGTCTCTCTCATATTGATGTTTCTCTCTCTCTCTCTCTCTCTCTCTCTCTCTCTCTCTCCCCCCTCTCTCTCCCTCCTTCCTCTCTCTCTAAAAAATCAATGGGGAAAAAATATATATATATCCTCGGGTGAGAATTAACAACAACAACAAAAAATGTACATGTCATTTCACTTCCAAAAGTCAGATTATTATAACTTTCATCTTAAAGCAAAAGGGGGGAAAAATTACTCAATAAAATAATGGGGAATGCTAATAGAAACTTTTTAATTTAGCTGATGATAATCGCTCTATTCCCTTACAGAAACCATTGTACCATATTCTTTTAAAATGAATGTAATATTTATTCAAAACCTATTGTCTTTAAGATTAGCTAGAGTTGGTGTTTCTCTTAAACCATAAAATTAACTGAGAACATTGAATACTCTTTATTTTTGCACCCCTATTACTGAGGTCTGCTAATGAAATATATATATTACTTGGAAAAAAACCTCCAATATCAGATGTGTGTCACAAACAAAAACTACCTACTTATCAATCAACCAGAGTTCTTATGTAACACTTGGCTTAAATTTGACAGTAATTGTGTAATCACAGAGGGTGAGAATACTAGCTCTACCCCCAACAGCCATGTGACCTTAAACAAGTTACTTAAGCTCTCTGAGCTTCAGTGTCCTCACCTGTAAAATAAAAACCATATACATATGAACCAGTACAGTCCTTTCACAAAGGCATACCTATAAAAAGATAGGTATAACTAACTATTTATTATGAAAAATACTTTTTTAGTATTAGTTACTAATGATGCATAACAATATAATGTATAAAATTACTGGTATTTATATGAAATATCTAATTTGTAACTAAAGTAATAAAATGGAGTGAAATTGTTGTCCCATGTTCTTTAGTCCCTTCTAAATCCTTAAAACAACTATATCAGAGCATGTTGTGGCAGAAAGCTAACAACATTGCAAATTTTCTAGTGAATGAGGAGAAAAATTAGTAAATTCTTCACATTTCATGATTCATTTCCAAGTGATCATTAATGTTATTTTAAAGAATAAACAAGAGCCCAATCATTATATATCAGTCTTGAACAGCTAGATAAAACTCAGACTGCTTAGTATACTGAGTATACACATCTCCTAAACAAGTACATACATATACACAGACACATGTCAATCCCAAATACAGTTCTTACTTTAATCTTCACAGCATCATAACGGATTTGTGAAAACTCACGAAGACCAAAAGAACCTCCAACAACCAACAACTGAAACAAAGAAAGGAAACAATTAAACAAAATAGAAGGGCAGAATTCAGTCTACCTGTAGATTACTTACCTAAATGCCAATAGTGACAGATTATACAAGTCCTATAGATTATTTTTCCAGATGCTTTATGTACTGTCACTGGGAAACAAACATTATAGCACATTACCAAATACCAGAATCAGTACCCCATACCTGTAAAGTACTTAACCTTATGGTTTAAATAATATCATCATAAGCACTATATTAGTTGATCCTTACAAAAGACCTATGAACTAAAGAAAAAAATCCATGTAATAAATGACTTGTTTATTATCATAATGGATAACGCCAGGAATAAAATTCTGGCCTCGTTTCTTCAGGACCAATGGGAGAGCATTTTCTCCATCACCTTACCAAGTGATAAGAGTCCCATGAAATATGCCATACTTCTCAGTATGTGGTCAATCTCAAAAGAGCCCTCAAATTGTCCTTGCTGCTTTATCATCTCCTCCAATAACCTAATGAGCTTTAATTCCTCACCTTAAAGCTGCAAAAGTATAACAATCTGGAAAAATATTAAGTTTAATCTCTACCTTTCTTTTTATATCAATACTAGTGTCCCGGTACATGGATTCGTGCACATTGAAAGGAAATTAATTAAAAGAAATATTTTAATATCACTGTTCGCCCTTTCTCTATAATAGAAGTGTCAACCAAATTCACAATCGACAATGACAGATTGAAACACACGAGTGATTGGTTACAGTGAGAGCTTTATATGTATTGCGCATGTGGAAGTCAACTTAGCCTTTTATATAGAGAGAATAAACTTGCTTAATTAGACCTGCTTTCTGATTTAGCTAAACTTTTTCCAGCCCAGTGAAGCACCCCAACTTCTCTTCAGGTAATTGTCAGCAACACAGCAATAAATATCAACACGAAGCACATTATTATCGTAGATCACACAGGGAGAACAAAGGGTAAATATTTAACTGCAGCAGTGTTTGACTATATTCTGGACAGTGAGGAAACCTGAAGTCATTTTCAAGGTCCACCATTTCTTACTTCTTTTCAGTTGGTCAAGTTTCTAAGCTTTCTAAATCTCCATTTTCCGGCTAATGAAAAGAAAATAGGATTCCATCGAGTCTCCTACCTACCTACTGCAGGATTTCTGTGATGAGGATCAAATGAGATGAGGCATGGGAAAACGCTTCAGACATTTGGTTATAGTGTAAAATGTTTGCACCTGACTATAAAGCAAGTCCGGTTCCTGGGCTGAAGAAACTCTGAGGCTAGTCACTAGGGAAAGGAAGCTGGGTGTTGCTATGTGATGTCATTACCCTGCACCCACAGAGACCATTTCGGACTGGACTGGGCTGGGCTGTGGGCCGCATTTTGCACCATGGGGTCTTGTCAGCATTGGCTGAGATTTGGTGGGGTGTCGCTCTGGGGTGGTGGCAGAGCCTGTGTCCTACTTGGGGGAAGCTGAGTGTTGATTTGTGGGCGCCAGGTCTGGGGTGTTGTTTATTTTTAAATGGCCAGTGCGGCCCTAACCCGTTTGGCTAAATGGATAGAGCGTCAGCCTGCAGACTGAAAGGTCCCATGTTCGATTCCAGCCAAGGGCATGTACCTTGGTTGTGGGCACATCCCCAGTAGGACGTGTGCAGGAGGCAGCTAATTGATGTTTCTCTCTCATTGATGTTTCTAACTCTCTATCCCTCTCCCTTCCTCTCTGTAAAAAATCAATAAAATATATTTTAAAAATAAATGGCCACTGTGCATCATGGCAGCTCCTGTGTTGAGCATCTGCCCCCTAGTGGTCAGTACACATCATAGCTACTGATCAGAGGGAAGGATGGACACTTAGCCTTTTATATATATAGATATTATTACCAACTACAGAAATACAAAAAGATATGAAACATCATGACATATCAAAAGTTATAATTTTGAAACTGGAATACCAACAAAACCTTGAGACCATGAATTTCAAAATTCAATAAATCTGACCACATAAAAATTTAAAACATCTATCCCGATAAATACATGAAATTAAAACAACACAGCCCTAGCCAGTTTGGTTCAGTGGATAGAGCGTCAGCCCGAGGACTGAAGGGTCCTGAGGACGGAAGGGTCCCGGGTTTGGTTCGGGTTCAGTTCTGGTCAAGGGCACGTACCTGGGTTGCAGGCTCGATCCCCAGCCCTGGTCAGGGCACGTGGGGGAGGCAACCAATAGGTGTGACTCTCTCGCATCGATGTTTCTCTCGCTCTGTTTCTACCCTTCCCACTCTAAAAATCAATGGAAATATATCCTTGGGCGAGGATTAAAAATAACACAACGTAAGTCAAAAGACAACAATTCAGCTATACATCTGTCCTATATAACCAGTTAATATTTGCAATGTCAATATGTGAGAATTTTTTGTAAAGCGAAATACTTTCTATCTCTTCGTTTCAGTGTAAAGACACACGCCTGGTTTTCCTAACTCCCCCTCTGCTTCCTTCTATTCGTTCCTCACCTTCACCATCTTCACACCTTCCAGCTACTCAGGACCAACACCAAGACCCTAGTGATGTCTCCCGGTTCCACGGGTTTAAACAGCCTCTATGACCTAACAACCTGCAAATGTCCATTTTCAGTGGGAAATACCCCCTGAACGGAAGGCCTGCCTTCCGATCGGGCATCTCCACCTCACAGTCTACCGGGTATATGCACATCGACATTTTCTTTTAAGCCTCTTGATTTTTACCCCAACACTCTTCCTGCCCCAACCTGGCCCTGACCAATCTTTCCTGTCCCGGAAAAGGGCAACTGCTTTCATCCAATACTCAAGCCAACTTCTTCGGAGTCACGCTTAGCTCCTCTCATTCCTTTCTCAAATCAATCCATCCTGCGCTGTCACCTCCACTTTTCAGAGTATGTCTCGGATCTGACCATTTCTGACGACATCCTCCCCTAACACTGTGGTCCCGGCCACCATCCCCTCCCTCCTGGACCACGGGAGTCACCGGACCAGGTGCCGGGCTGCCTTCGTCCCGGGGTCCGGGCGGGAGCTAGAAACTCGGACTTTGCTGAGTTCTTTAAAAACACACACGGCGCCCTGTGCGGGCTGCGGCGGGCGCCAACCTGGGAGGCGTAAGCCAGCGCACCCGGGCCGCTGGGACACGGGGGTGCCCGGAACTGGGCGGTACCTGCAGTCAATCCTCCAGTTCCGGCGACCCCGTGGACCGCCGAGCTGCAGAGGCGAGGGGTCGGGTGAGGTTGGGAGGGTTGCGGGGCGGGCGGTTCGGCAATCGTCCAGATTTGGATTAAAATCCGGTCCTCACGTCGCTCTCTGACGCACCAGGGAAGGAAGGGGGGGCGGGGGGGTCCGAGGTGCCATTGCCAGCCGGAGGGGACGAGCACCGGGCTGCCTAAACGCTCCAGCCCACCGCCAGCCCTTCCCCAGCCCAGGTCCAGGCCCCCGCCGCTCCCATCAGACTTCCCGCTGCCTCCACCCAAACTTGAGGCCCCACCCCTTCCACCATCCCGCCCCACTTTCTCCTTCGGGACTCACCAACATGGGCACCCCGTAGCGAAGGGTCTTGTTCTTGCGCAAGGCGCGCGTTACCGCGTGTGTGAACATGACGGGACTCTCCGACCCGCGTGGACACCCGGCCAAGCAGGCCCGGCGCGGCCGCGCGGCCTCGCGAACCTCAGGGGCTCAGCCTCCCTCCCTCCCAGACCAGGCGTCCCAGGCTCCCCAGGCTCATCACCTTCCCTCGCCCTCCGGGCTGGGTCCGCCCCCGTGAGACCAAAGCAATCGACTCATCGTAACAGACTCGCGCGTCCGCCAGGAAACTCGAGTGTCAGAGCTTTGGTTCCGCGCGCTGGCTTGGTTTAGGGACTTAAGGATTTAAATGGTGTTTGTACTCGCGGTCAAGTGATATGGTCACCGGCACCTCCCGCGTTCTGGGTCTTGACCTACGTCTTCTCAGAACACTCCCTGGGACATAGCCTCTCGATAAAATCAGCTAAGGAAAGAAGTTGGGGATCGTTTCTAGGGCTATTTGTGGGCTGAGAAGTTTACCAGCTTAATATCAATTTTTAGAAATACATAAATCGCCACAAAAGGTTAGGTTGAATGGTAATATAGTGTCATGCTATCACTGAACTTTTAATGCTTTTACTGTGAAATAGCCTGTAATCTTCATTCATGAATGTCAATTCTGCAGTCATTCAAACTAGCACACCTTTTTGCAGGTCATTTGAAGGCTCCAGGAACATAAAGATGAAAATATAGGATCCCTGCCTTAAGAAGATAGCGATCTAACGGGCACTCAAATGAACATGTGTCTAACTACTGTGATCGTTTAGGAAACCGCCCCCATGTGCCATTTGCTGGGGTGAGTCAGAGAAAGCCTCACCTACCAAGTAGGACATAGTCATTCCAATTTTCTTAGCAAGGAATCTAAGGCCCTCTGTGGTATGACTAACTTTGGCCTGTCTTTTCTGCCACTTTTCCTCTTTCACTCCATACTCCAGCCTGGAGGAGCTATTATTTCCTGAGTATTCCATGAACTTCCACATCTTCAAAATGCAGCTTCAGGAACTCCAGGTTCTTGGATCCTCCCTTACTCCACAGGCAATGTAAATTATTCCTCCTTTTAACTAACATATATCGCAGTAGCTTTTAACTAACATATATCACAGAGCTATCACTCTGTGGTTTTAGTATATAAAGTCATTGTTGCTCTGGATAACATATGTGAATGAAAATAACACAGTGGGAAGAATACTTCAGTTTGAATGTGAAACTTGGGGTTTTCTTTTGGGTTCTGGGCTAAGTCAAATGAGTCAAACCTGCCCACTTCATAAGCATCACCTACACTTAGCCAAGGGAGATTTTGAAATGATCAGGACAAGGCTTATAAAAGTAAGACTGCTAATTCCTTTCCTTATCCCTGTTTCTCCCATCTTCCCTCACTCCAATCTCGTCAAGGAAGAGACACGTTGCAAACCTGGGGACTGGAGCAGTAAGAAAGGTGAGAGGACTTAACCTGAGAAGTTTGAGAGTGCTGAGAGAAAATTATGTAAATTTATAGGAGAGTCGGGAGCATTTGTAGAATAAAGGGGAAATTCAGATTGAAGGGATGGGTTATAAACAGGATTGCTATGGTTTATAAACAGGGTCTCCTTTAATGCTGTGATTCTTTTGTACTTTATTTTGGATTGTTTGACTTATGCCTTTTGTTGTGTGTTTGTTTAATTAATCTATGTGCAGAAAATAAACCACATAGGGCCATAGCATTTATTAGAAAGATGTATTGTAATGTATGCTAAATTTGTATTGGGCATTGCTTCTATCTTCATTCATTTCCTTTTGACATTTCAGAACTCATAAAGCATCCAGGTTAGTTAAGCGTATTATTTATCCCCTTTCCCTCAGATACTAGATGCCAAGCATGCTATTCTAAAAGTCCAGACCTTGCCTTATCCAGTTTGCTCAGTGGGTAGAGCATCATCCCGTGGATTGAAAGGTCCTGCCTTCAATTCTGGTCAAGGTTATGTACCAGTTGCAGCTTGATCCCTGGCCCTGATCTGGCCACATGTGGGAGGCAACCAACCAATCAATGTATCTCTGTCACATCAATGTTTCTCTCTGTCTCCTCTCCTTTCCACTCTCTCTAAAAATCAATGGAAAATATCCTCAGGTGAGGATTAACAAAAAATTAAGTCTAGACCTTTCCCTACCTTTTAACCATATAAAAACATCACCATACTGGATCCAACTCCAATAAAGCCCTATACTCAGCTAGTAGCTAATAATGGATTAAATAATATACATAAACTCTTGGTAATATTATAGCTAATAATCTGTTACCCTTTTCAGATGGAGCATATATTTTATTTAAGTGAATACAAGTCTTCAGCCTCTCATTTGTTCAATCATTCAAATAAACATTTATTGAGAACTTTGAGATGGTCCTGAAGATGCAATTAAATTGTAAGAATTACAAGTATGCTGGAAGATTGTCAGGGGACAAATTTTGGGGCAGTGAGGAATTTAAGCACATATTGGATATTATTACATAGGTGGGAAATTCTATTTTCTATGCTTAGTACTCACCTTAAGCATTACTATGGTGTATCTCAGTTTCTTTTTCTGTTAAATCGAGTGACATTTGTCATCACTTTTACAATTCTCATTTAAAAAACCGCACAAAATAGCTCATCAGTATGGGCTCTATTGCCTTCTCAGAAATGTGACTCAAATCTCATCTGTATGTTTCCAGTGTTAATCAACAATCCAAATGTTGACTCAGCCATTATAACTGTCACACTTCCAAGTGGGAGGATATAAAATTTATATGCAGGAAACAAGGCATCTCTACCACCCAAGCCAGTCCCTCAGGACTGGTATGTTCCTGATATCTAGGCAAGTTGCCCTCCAGTATCTGCTCTACCATCACTAACTCATGCAGGTACATGAGAGGTATCAAAATCACCAATCTTGAGAGCCTTAGCACCGAGGTCAGGTTTTAGAACTACGGCCACATGTAATGGCTATGGTATGGAAAGATTAGTTTCTTCATGAGTTTTTTATGGCTCTATAATTGACATATCATATCTAACTTGATTCACTCAAAAACCTTATAATTTTTAAATTTTGTAAAATATATTTTTATTGATTTCAGAGAGAAAGGGATAGAGAGGGAGAGAGATAGGAACATCAATGATGAGGAGAATCATTGATTGGCTGCCTCCTGCATGCCCCACACTGGGAATCCAGCCCACAATCTGGGCAGTGCCCTTGATCAGAATTGAACCTGGGACCCTTCAGTCCTCAGGCTGACGTTCTATCCATTGAGCCGAACCGGCTAGGGTGAAAAACCTTATAAACTTTAAAAGAGCTTGATTGCAGACTCATTTTACAGGTGAGCAAATGGAGAATCAGGAAGAGTAAGAGGCTTGCACGAGTTCACACTTTGTAAAGTAGTACAAATGCCCCAACTGCTACTAAACTTCCTGTAGCATTTGACAATAGCATTGACTACTAGTATCTCCTTCCTGAAATTCCCTCCTCCATGGATGTTTGGCTCTCCTGGGTCTTCTCCAACTTTGAGACTTCCTTTTCTCTTCTTCAGCTTTATAGACTGAAAACTGGAGTCCTTAGCCTTTTTTCATTTTTGTTCTGCCCCAGTGACTTTCAAACTGTAGTGTGCACAGAATCACCTGGAGGGTTTATTAAAACATGGATTTCTCAGCCCCATCCCCAAAATTTCTAATTCAGTACTGTTATGGGTTCACTCAGCGAGATAGACCACCGACTCAGAATTTAAATTTAAGAGCCTTTATTAAGCTGGCCAGCTGACTACAGTTACAGCACCCTGCCAAAGAAGAGGCCGAACTGCAGCCCAGACTGCAAGAGTTACATTTTATTATTAAATTTTGTGGAGGCCCAGAGACAAATGTGTCTTTCAAATTCTGGGCCCCCCAATATGGAGGAAACTCTCTTTATTTATACTTTTTCCAGTCTTTTGTCTCCCAAATTTGGAATGAGACTTCCGGGCCTTCTGAGAAAGAAGACCTGCATGCTGGGAAGGGGCCATAAGACCATATCTCAAGGCCTGGCCTGATGTCAGTACCTTCCTATCTGTGTGTTTTAGGAACAGACAGCACAGCATGACCCGTCTGGCCAAAGCGCCAGATATGCAGCCCAGTACAAGTACATCTGAAATGGGACCTGAAAATTGACTTTTCTAACAGGCTTCCAGGTAATGCTGCTGGTGGTGGTCTGAAGATTACAGTGTGAGAACCACCGCTCTATTTTCTTTCACTAGGTAAACTCATCTCTTACCTTGGCTTCAAATGTTATCATAGTGTGGATGATTTCTGGTACATATCCAGTAGCCTCAATGGTTTTCGTACATCTCAAAGTCAGCATACCATGAAGATGTATTCCTTCTTTTCTTTTCCCTCACTCTCTGCCTCCCTTTCTACTTTTTTTTTTTTGCAGTTAATATTTTTTTATTTTTTATTTTTTATTTTTTTTATATTTTTTTATTAAATGATAATAACTACAGGCAGAGTTAGATTTACTTTCATTTTTCTCTGATTTCCCCCCCCCCTCCAACTTCCCTGTCTAAGTAATGCAGATGTTTCTCAGGTCTAGAGAGGGACTCTTCACAATGCCAAACCCCTACTCCCAACCTAATATTTTAAAAAGATGCCATTGACATTGTTATCTTATATGCCACTAAGGAAGGAGAACACCGTGCAGAATGTGTGTTCTTAGGTGACCTTTTCTAAGGGAAGGGAAAAATAAATGTCACGCAGGAAGACACAGTAAGGAGACTTGTGTATTTCAATCTTGGTACTGGGTAGGGGGGAAGAAACCCCTCATGAGATTTTCTGCTCTGAGAATTGAATAAAAAATTCTATTGCTTTACTAATTTATATCCCATAAAATCCCTGTCTTAAGTTTAGTATATATTTTTTAATTTTTTTCTTTATTGATTAAGGTATTACATATGTGTCCTTATCCCCCCCATTGCCCCCTTATCCCCCACCCCCATTTTTGCCCCTCCCCCCCCCCCCCCCCCCCGGTGTCTACATCCATTGGGTTATGCTTATATGCATGCGTACAAGTCCCTTTGGTTGATCTTAAGTTTAGTATATTTACACAAATTACGCAACCATCAGTAAAAATCTAATTTTGAAAACATTTTATCACCTGAAAAAGAAATCTTGTGCCTTTTTCCCACCCCCAACCCTAGGCAACTACTAATCTAATGTCTGTCTCTATAGACATTTCATAAAAATAGAATCTTAGGTGTTCCTTTGTGTCTGGTTTTCGAGGTTCATCCATGTTGTGCCCCAGACTGTGAGGAGCCCAGTCTAGTGGATTGTAAGATGAAAGGCAATGTGGAGAAGAACCAAGGCACCTAGCTAGTAGCCAGCACTAATTTCCGGACGGGGAAGAGAGGCCATCCAGGACTACCTACCCTCTGCTCTGCCATCAGATAAATGCAGCTGCATGTGACCCCAGGTGGTATCAGGAAGAGAAACACTCAAGCAGCCCATGGAATCTTTTAAAAGTTTATTAAAATATTGTTTTAAGTGACTTAATTTTGCAGTGGCTTGTTATATAGTTGAAAACTGACATGTTCTTCACCCATCAGGGAGAAGGTGGCCATTCTGCACACACAGCAGGTACAGATTAGCACTTGGACTCCAGGCCTGCACTTTGCTTAAGCTCTGTGACAGAGCCATAATGACCAGTGTAAACTGCCTTTCCTGTTCACATCAAAGTCAGCTATAAGCAGAGTCAATATTCAGTTCTGACAAACCCTTTTTCATCCTATGGCACAAACCCATTTCTGCCTCTGTGTATCTTTTAAGGCTTTGGGGGATGACAGGGCCAGAAGTAAGATACTAAAGGTTGGCAACTGCCTTCAAATGTTGTATGTAAATACAGAAGGGTACAGCTACTGCTATTTTGTACCTAGTGTAGCCAAATACCTATTATCCACCATGGAAGACTGAGCTAGCATGGTTGAACCAAATTCAGTAAACTAAACTTTCATTTTCTGGAATGGTGAGAAGTGAACTTCTCATTGGCTTTAAGGAAATTCCCAGATCTGGAACTAACTAGCTATGTATCATGAGCAAGTTAGCCTCTTTAAACCGTGAGTTACCTTATCTGTAAAAATGGGATTACTGATACTATGTTGCATAATGGGGAGATGTTTTTTTACCTTAGTTATGCAAAAGAGCACCCAGGGCAGTGCCTGACACCATGGCGACTAGGGACAGTACAGTGCCATGGTTATGTATGCAGGTTCTAGCTGTATAACGTGGGTGGATGAATCTCTCAAAGCCTCGCTCATCTCCCTGTAAAATGGGAATAATGACAACAGTTGTTGTGAGGCTTAAATGAACACATGCTTAGGATAGTAGCTGAAATACTGAAAGGAGCTCAATAATTGTTAGCCAGTTAATAGTGGTACATGGTAGTGCCCTTCCTTATCTCTTTAGTCAAAGATAAGCCTCAAATTGATCATTTAGAGTTTTCTTTCCTCTTTCCATTGTTTTGTCAGAGGCACTACTCTTAAGAAGTTGGCAAAAAGAAAAAAAATTCAATAATCTCCAAAATAAGGTGGAAAAATTATAAAGATCACTGACAAATGCAACAAGTTTTTATGAGATGCCAGTATTGAGTGAGGTACAGTTAGAGACACTAGGATCTCATTTGCTCTATCTGGTATCAAATAGCAAAGCTTAGGAAATTATCATCCAGTTGATGGCCTCACTAACATGTTTAATTTGTAGTTATATTTCCTAGTAGTTTTATGCCCGTGTATCTCCCAAGATGCTGTAGGGCATCTACTTGCTATTTAGATCCAGGCATGCAATGTGACACTAGGGTCAAAGTAGAAAGGAAGCAAAATAAAATAAGGTTCATAAGGATAATAATTTTATAAGAACTAATATGGCCCAGGGGTAAAATGCACAAATACCCAGTAGTAAGAATTTCATATTCAAATCAGCATTGCAGATACAGAATTAAAATGGAATTGTGTGATTCCATTTGCCAATCTGCAAACTAAGAAGGATTATTCAATTTTCCTGATTGGTCAATACATTTAATAATTACAGTAACTACAGAGTTCTTTTGTACATGACTCTGTTAATGACCGATTTGCATCTGAAAACATTATCCAGTCCTCTCCCTTTTCACTCAGCAAAAAGAACATGAACAGTAAGGACAACATTTAGAGAAACAAGACCTGATGTTTGGTATAACTTGATTCCTTAGACACAGCAATGCATTCTTATATGTTACAAGAGGCCCAGTGCACGAAATTCGTGCACTCAGGAGTGGAGGGTCCCTCAGCCTGGCCTGCACCCTCCCTCCGGTAGCCCTCAGGGGATGTCCGTCAGTCGGACATCCTTAGCCCTGCCACGGAGGCAGGAGAGGCTGCGCTCACCAGCCATGAGCCCGGCTTCTGGCGCACTGACCACGAGGGGGCAGCTCTTGCGTTGAGCATCTGCCCCCTGGTGGTAAGTGCACGTCATAGTGACTGGTCATTCCGCCATTTGGTTGATTTGCATATTAGCTTTTTATTATATAGGATTACATTATCATCAAGTGCATCAGGTAAGAGATTAGGTGCTTTGTAGCCCAAATATAAATATCAACATCAGGCAAGAGTTTATGCCAGTTAAGAACCTGGTTCCAATCAGAACAGAATTCCTTTTAAAATACTGGCTCCCTTTGGATCACAATTGCCCTTTTGAATGTAAATGCTGGTCTCTCAGATTTGCAGAGAAACAGCAAAAGGGGCTCACCCAAGATCATAATCACCGTTCAACTTATAGCTGAGAGGTAAAGAGTTTGATAACTCAATATTCTGCTTCTTGGTAATGTTAGGAAAATAATTTAACATCAACATCACCAATAAATACTCCACCACTTTCCAATAATGAAATCTTAGCTTGTATCTTCAGCACCCAGCATGCACTCATTTGCTGATGGAAAAGAAAACCCTCATCTGTACAAAGATAAGTGTGATTAGATTTGACTAGAATAAAATCTTTATTGGCTCCACATGAAATTATATCTTAACTTGCTTACTTACACAAAAACGATGTCCAATGTCAAAAAACATACTTCTCTAGAACTATTGGAATTAGTCTCAGAAGAGCTCATTTAATTGATGTTAGATCTTTCTCAGTTTATTCTGTGGCATCTCCCAATTATTCATGAAGCTTGCAACACACTTGTGTAGTCAATCAGTTCCTTTGGTCTTTATTTAAGACCCAGAGAGAAGATAGAAGTGGATTGAGATTTAAAAAAAAAAGAGAGAGAGTTTTGTTTATGTTCATGTAGTGGATACATTCAAGACATAAAGATGAGACAGAAAGAGCACTTATGCAACAAAGCAAGTGTGTGTGTGATCTGGTTTAAGTTAGCTCATATCCCTGAGCCTTGATGTTCTCATCTTTGAGACAAATACATCCTAGAATCTTTCTGGTTCCTTCTGCTCCAGTGTTCTACAGTTTGGTTCTGATTTAATAGATGCACAACCTGAAACACTACGACGTTTTGCTGGAGGTTGATCAGTCATTAGCAAAACAGAAGCCAAAAAATGTTCCACTTCTTATTCCACATGTATACTTTGGGCAGAAGCTCACGGAGAGCTGGGCTCTAAAAAGGCCCAAGTGGCCCGGCCAGAGTGGCTCAGCAGTTGAGCGCTGACTCAGGAATCAAGAGGTCACCAGTTTGATTTCTAGTCAGGGCACATGCATGGGTTGTGGCCTCGATCCCTAGGAGAGGCAGTCGATTAATGATTCTCATCCCTGATATTTCTCTTTCTCTCTCCCTTCCTTTCTCTAAAAATCAATAAAAACGTATTTTTTAATAAAAGTAGAGGGAAAATTGCAATATAAGCTTCCATTTTAAGAAAATAAAAAGGCCCAAGTGAAATTCTCATTTTTGGCTGGAGCCATGTCTGTATGTAACTTTAATGGTGTCTAGGTTTAAATGCCAGAGTATTTTTTGTTTTGTGGTTTTTTGTTGTTGCTTTTTTTTTTTTTTTACTGACACTGTAACTAGAATCACCTGGTAAACTTTATTTTATGGTGCCTGACTTCCACACCCAGAGATTGTATTGAATTGGCCTAGATACAGCCTGGTCATCGGAATTCTTATAAGCTCTCCAGGTAATTCTAACCTGAGAAAATGGGTACAATTATTGGCATTCAGAAGTGATTCTTAAACTGCAGCTAAATCCGTCACCTGGAGGTATTATTACAGATTGCTGGGTGCCCTACTGTTTCTGAGTCAATAGGTCTCGGTTAAGCCCCCAAATTTGCTTTTCTAGCAAGTTCTCAGGCGATGCTGATGCTTTTAACCAGACCTCAGTTTGAGAACCACTGCCAGTGAGGAAGTACCACTGATGATGGCACCTGAAGACATGAGTTTACATCTTGATTCTGTTATTACCACCTATGCAATCTTAGGAAAGTAATTTTATTCTCTTTTCTTTAGTGTCTTTATAACAATACTTAGATCCCAGAGTTGTGAGGCATGAACAATTAGTGTTACCTATCAGGGTTTAGTACAGTACCTGGCACAAATGCAGTAACAAATATTAATCTCCCTTTTCATTACGCATGACTAGAGGGTGTGATTAATTAAATTAATAGCACAGATTAAAACTTGGCAGGAAAAGGAAATAGACGATTGAAGCAAACAATGTCTTATTAGGATTATATGTATAAGATAGGATGATATAGAGAAGTGTTCTAAGTACGTGGTCTTAAAAATACTTTAAAACTTTGAACACAGTAGTTCAGGTAGTAGGAATGACACAATCTATAAAGTGGCAGGAATATTCAATTCAATTCATAGAGCATGGATTTTTTTTCTTAAAGACCTACAATGGATTCCGACATCTTATCTATGATAATGTAGTCTTCTAGAGAATGAGAAATAAAAATATAGCACACCTGCCTAAAATGTCAATATATTGATCTTTAGATGCTATTTAAATCCAGGGAAAACCAAAATTATTAAAACGCATCAGAATCCCTATTATCAACCAAAGCTAAACTTCTACCAGCGGTGGGATAGGTGTTCTCTTTATTTATATATACCAACAAATAAAAAACCAAAAAGAGCTTTCCTTCCTGCTTGCCCCTTTGCTTCGTTTGGTATGTGTGTCTCAGGTCCTCTCAGGAGTTAATGTGCACACCCTGAGGTGAACCCTGGGAGGCCAGCAGGCCCCTCCAGAAGTGAAACGGCTACACACACTCCAGGTGCAGGGAGGACCCCGAGGCTGAGCCCCCACAGTGGGCGGGCGGGGGTGAGAACTGGAATACTGTCAGTGTTTCTCTGAGGAATGTACAAACGCCAAGTGTCTAGGTGACCAGTTCAGGTTTAAAGGCGTAAGTCACATCAGGATTGTTTAAAGCAAGTTTCTCCCTAAGGAATAGTTGACCCAGAGGCAAGGTCTTACTGGGATTTTTATTTTAAAAGGCCTTCCCTTTCCACTCTGGCCTCATGTTATTGTGCAATGGCTTTCTTTTTCTGAATACCTTAAAAAAGTGTGATGGCTGCATTGTGTTGTGCCAAGTACCATTTCTTTTATTATTGTGTTCAACTGTTACTTAACCTGATAACTAGACTGTGAGCTCCTCAAGGGTCCTTAACTTGTTCCCTTCCTCCACGGAACGTTCTCAGTGATGGTTGCTCAGTTCTGTTCCCTTTTGCTGTCTGCACTGTACATTTGACACCAAACTTACATTGCCCTGACTATGCAAATTCCCTTTTTATGTATATAGGTTTGGTTCCCAACTGGAACCAAAAAAACCTTTAGGATGGAGGCAATATGTATTTTCTTTCTTTGTAAAAGTGTCATAACAAAGCTGATGTCCAATCAACATTTGTAAAATACTTGTTAGATCATCTATGCCAAAAAATAGACACAACTGATTGCCCGAGGGGAAGTCCTCACATTCTTGTTGTCAAGATTGTATGTATAAGGCCTACAGTCTAGCTGATATGTTTGGAAGATGGAACTGTTTTTCTTAAAGCCAGAAAATTAGTCTTGGTTCAGCTCTCCTTAATGCTTTAAGGCCACCCTTCAATACCACTTCCACAGGATGGTTCCCACCTCATTATTAACCTCAGCATTCCGCAGCATCCATTCATCTGCATCGTGCTCTCAAGGTTTCCCTATGAAAGTTCCCTCCCCCCTAAAACAAACACAACTCATTTCTTCCCCTTCCCTGCAAAATGGTTCATTAAAACCATAACCAGTGTTTCGTGTGGTGTGTTTTTTTTTTTAAATTACAAACTAGCAATCCAAACTCTCTAAACGGAACTGAATCAGAAGCAAAGCTGGTTTCATGCCCACCCGGCCAAGAGCAGTTCCCTCGCTCAGAGTTTGCCTGTTATTAGCCCTGGGGGACGTGTTGGCAGCCTGGGGATTCAGGCACCGCCTTGGAGGCACTACTTTTTCCTTTGTGGAGTTTTCACTGGGTTGTTTTGTCCCCATCACTACAGCTCTGACCACAATCATTCCAGCTGATCCTTTCACAGGCTGTGAGGTATCCAAAAAGTCACTAAGGTAGGCCGGAGATTGGTAAGATTTATCTCTAAACCTCAAAGGTTTTCCGACAGATTGACTTGCGCAAAGCTGGATTATGGCATTTTGCCTCAACTTCACCTTAAGTGTTATGAGAAATAAGAATTCTAAGGTTTTAAACTAGTTGCTTCAGTTTTCCTTCCTTTTTCTTATGACTCAAACTGGGCATCCTGTCAGGCTCTCTCTCTTACTCCCTCAATTAAGATCACCCCTTCCACCAGAAATCTAGAAACCAGAGCAGGTTTCTACCTCTTTAACTCTCCATAAGGTTTCACTATTATACTATCATTTATGACCATATGTGTATACATGTGTAAATATATATATATGTATGTATATATATATATATTTGTCTTTTAAAAAGTAAAAATGGTCTCATTGTATTTTGTTTGATATAGGCACCCAAGTATGTCATTAGAAAGTAAATAAAGGCCAAAAAATTTCCCAAGGAAGATCATTAGAAAGAAAAATCCTCTCTTCCTCTTATATCGCACAGCTGGCCTTTGAGGCAAGCCAGCTAAGAAAACAGGTATCACCATGGTGACGGGAAGACTGGACTTTTCCCTCTTTGGTTGTAGCTGATTCTATTGGCGGTCCTAGTAAAACATATGACTCCTCATTTGTCCTAAGCAAGTCTTTCTTCAGCTTTCCTTCAAACAATGCCTCTACTCTCCCATCAGAATACGAGGACTTGAAGATTTTGAAGAGCCAGGTTCTGGTTGGGAAGCAGTCTCTTTAAATCATGTGTGAGCTATGCAGAGAGAGGGCAAGAGACGGGAGAATGGCAGGGGAGGAGGAGGAGAGAAAGGAAGAAATGTTCTCTTCATCAGGAGCACTGGAAGGAAGCGAGCTGTTCAAAGTTGTTGCCGGTATCGCATGAAGGCCCAGGCTGCCACCATGGTGAGGGCAAACAGGGGCACCAGCACCACAGGCATGGGAATGCCGCTCGGCTCCCCTTCGCCTCGATGTCCTAGGGGCCCATTTTGCACCTGTAACTGGAAGGGAAAGAAAAATGTTAACTCTGGTGACCAGTGTGTGTTTCCCACAACTGAAAGGTCCGGGCTGACACATGACCTGGGTCTGTCAAAGCTGCAAATCCAAGCACTATCTAGCAGAGAGTATATGTCAGTATCACTGACTCTTTGGAAACAAAAGAAGGCTGATGGGGAGACATTTGCTTTTTCTGTGCTACTGACCTACAGGGACCCCCGGAAATAAGCCAGATAACCTCTTTCTGCTTTTGTACGGCCTCCGCCAAGCTCTATGTGTCTCATCTCAGGAAATGAAGATATGAGATGAAGTCTACTGATCCTATAGGAAACCTGAAAATTATTGGGTGGGACAGGGGGGATGTCCATCTTCCTAGAATGTTTACTTAGAAAGATTATCAGTCATGAGAGTGCAATAAGAGCAGAGCTGAGCAATGTTATTTAAGCATAAATTGCACAAGGTGTAATTCCATTATTTTCAACTCAAAAGGCACTCCACTCCCTCCTAAGATGAGGTTGTGTCCTTCCTCCCCTATTTTGTAACACTGGACACAGATAAAGGTGGAACCTGTATGGAATGGAGGCAAACAGAATCAGAGGTAACAAAGTGAAAAGAAATCATATCCAAGCATCAATTTAAGAGAGAATAACTTTAAAGACACATTGAACATGTGTTGCATATGCCCCCAAAATCTTTGCTATGGGAGGAATTATGTCTACAGGCTTCTCTTCCCATCATTCACATTATAAGACACTAGGAACTAAGAAGTGGATACAGGGATAGGTGCTGTCTTGACTGAATTCTGAATTCCATTTCCGTTTTCCTGGAGCTCAACTTTGAGCACCAGAGCTTTGGTCAGGAGAGTCACCAAGTTGATAAGCAAAGTGTTCATGGAGGTGACAGGGAAAAGCACACAGTGAGTAGGTATCAGAAAACCTACCATCTTTGTACTTAGAGTTTTATAAACAAGAATGTCCAATGGCAGACACATGTTTTCCTTCCCCACTAAAAAAATTGACTGTGGTTGTATACCCCCCCCCACCCCATTTATTTCAATTTGGTTGTCAAGCTTTATCTTTAAAACTAGGACCTGGGTTGCAAAAATACTGTTACAAATGTCCTTTGATGATAAGCAGAGTTCCAGAAGACACCTGCCAGACAAGCTCTTCAAAAGAGTGGGAGTGGAAGGAAAAAAATCCAAACACACCATTGAAGATTACACCACAGGCACAAAAGCCTGGGGCCAGGTGCTGGCTGCAACGGATACAACACCTACCCTGTGCTGTACTCTCAGGGATACAGCGTAGCCTGCATTACGAAAGAGGTTTACAGCATCCTGGTGCAGCAGGTTCTTTAGGTCTTGGCCATTTACCTGTCGAAAACAGCAAGAAAAAGTAGTAAGAGTTAGAATGTAAACTCTCTGAAGTCAAAGATTTACTTTCATATGATCAAACATTTAAAAAACAACTCCTACAGAGCAAATTCCAAGGTTTAGGAGAATGAATAACGTCACTTAGAACTAACTCAATGTAACACTTTTCATTTTCAAAGCTACGTTTTCCTGAAACTGAGTTCCACGGACCATTTGAAGAGCACTTAAGTTTAAATTAACAAGAACAAAAAACGGTAGTCTTGGCCTGGCCGGCGTGGCTCAGTGGTTAGGCGTCAACCTGTGAACCAGGCGGTCACGATTCAATTCCTGGTCAGGCCATACACCCAGGTTGTGGGCTCGATCCCCAGTAGGGGGCATGCAGGAGGCAGCCAATCAATGATTCTCTCTCATCATTGATGTCTCTCTCTCTCTCTCGCTCTCTCCCTCCCTTCTTCTCTGAAATCAATAAATAAAAAATGTTAAAAAATAAATATTTTTTAAAAAGGTAGTCTCTTTCTTCTTAGCTCCTATGGCCTATCTCATTTGGACACCTGCAACTCTTTACTGTATTTGTATGTCTTTCATGAGCATCAGTCTGACTTCCTACAGCTAGCATGGTCTCCCGGGTTTATTTCTAATCCCTGGCATTGCTTGCTTCATCTCTAGAAATATAATTACATGAAACTCTCCCACAATTTATTTTGATGTGGTACAAAATCTCCTGGCCCATTCTACTGGTCTTGTTCTACTGTGAACAATTTCCCTTAATTCCATTGATACTCCTATCCTCCTCAAGTTTCTGTGATGATCCAAACTCCTAAACAATGTTTCACGGTAGGTCAGTCCTGCCACTCAGGGGTGAGAGATGTGAAGTGCTACTGGTATTACTACTTTCAGTGTCAGGAGTGACTCTGGCCACACTGATATCTATCCATGCTGCACTCAGTGACACAGCATAGCTTACCTTATGCAAGAGCTACATATCTTTTGTACATGTTAGTGTCAACGGCAACAGCAGCAAAAATACCTAATATATTTACTTGATAGGCTCTGTGCTATATGCTTTACATTATGAATTATCTAATTTAATTCTCACAATAATTCTATGAGGTAGACACTATTTTTATCTTGTTTTTCACAGATAAAGAGACTGAAGCCTAGCAAGGTTAGGGAATGTAACCCAAAGGCATAGTAAGTGTGGAAGCCAGGGCTAGTGTGTTTAAATACCAGAAGGAAGACTGAAGTGCCCTGCATTTTACTGCTCCTTCTGCACTATTCCTCTGCTTTGACTCACCAACTATTCTCTGCTCAGCTGAAGCTCAGGTCATTGACTTATTCAAACCTCTCACCTTTCTTGTCTCAGTGTTCCTTCTCCAGAGGTTCAGAATAGTCCTTCCACTCTATCTCCTGCCAATATCCTTGGTGAATTCATCTACCAACAGTTTGGCCTTCCCGAATTAATAGTTTCTAGCTCTATTACATATTAGTCACCAAGTGCCATAAGCCTTGGACTTCAACACTGGGCAGTGAATTCCAATCACCAAGTCTTACAGCCCCTTTTCAACCTTGAGACTGCCGCCTCTGTTTTGCAGTTCTTTCCTGTCTTAGTTCTTAAACTATTCCTTTCCTAATTCCTTTCTCCTTCTTAAGGCAAATATTCCTCAATGTCAGTTGTCTTTTGTCTTCTTATTTTTTTCTCCCATGTGATTATTCACAATTTCAACAGTAATCTGCAAGACAACTCCAAAATTTGTATCCCGCCCTTGCTGGTTTGGCTCAGTGGATAGAGCATCAGCCTGCAGACTGAAGGGTACCAGGTTCAATTCCAGTCAAGGGCACATGCCCAGGTTGTGGGCTCGATCCCCAGCAGGGGGCATGCAGGAGGCAGCCAAGCAATGATTCTCTTGCATCATTGATGTTTCTCTCTCTCCCTCTCCCGTCCTCTCTGAAATCAATAAAAAAATATATTAAAAAAAATTGTATCCCTACTTCTATTTCTGGATTTACCTATTTCCTGCTGGGTACCTGCACTTGGATGTTCTGTTAGACCCCACTCAACATTTCCAAAGCCTCTTTATTATTTCCCGTAAAACCGGACTATCCCAACTTTCTTTTATTGCCACTACCTTCCTTTCAGACTAAATTTTTGATAATAGTTTTAAACTCTCTCCACTCTGTCAATCTTCACATACAATATATTGGCAAATCCTGTAGTTTAACACAATGACATTCCTCATATGCTATTATTTTGTCTGGTACCTCTCTCTTTAGACTGTGGATACTTTTAGTTGAACTACTGTAATCACCTTCTCTATGACTTATTTTCCTCTAGGTCCTCCCCCGTACTACCCTATTCAAACACTATGTCCCCAGACCAATCTTTCTAAAGTATAATTCTGTTTATACTACTTCATGGCTCAAAAACAAAAACAGAAGTTGAAGCAGGGGAGGAAAGCGTGCACGCTTGATTTCTCATTCTGATATGCAAAGTCCTACCTTTGGAACCTACTTTCCCAATTTAATCTCGCATTACTCCCTATCACGTATCCTATGCTCTAGCTAAATCACATAACTCATTACTCTGAGACAAAAAAAAACACATATATTCTTACTTTCATACCTGTGCTTAAGCTATATCTACTATCTAAATACCCTTTCCTCTTAAAAAATTCTACTTATCTTCTAAGATTGATCTTAAATAGGATCAGTCCTGGTACCCATAGTGTAGAAATGAATACAAGGTTTTCTAATTGATGGACTTTGATTTCATGCTACTAAACCATATTCTGATCATATCTTTCTTTTACATATGCCACAGGGAAAAATTTCCAGATGTCTCAATGACTCAATTTTTTTTTTAGTTAATTCCTGGGGAAAGACTGTTGATTGTAGTGAGAATACTCACTTAACTAATTTAGCCTGTGATAACTGTATTTCTCATTTAAAGAAATAGGTATTTATTTCTGCTCAGAGACAAATAAGTTAATGATATAGTCATGTTAACAAATGCCAGATGTCATAGTTCAATATCAGAGCCAAATTTCATAGAAATATGACTGCAAATGAGAGAACTATATGACATTCAATGGCAAGAATACAGAGTTCATCCCTGGCTGGGTGGCTCAGTTGGTTGGAGCATTGCCTTAAACACCAAAAGGTTGCAGGTTCAATTCCTGGTCAGGGCACATACCTAGGTTGCGGATTCAATACCCAGTTGAGGCGCATATGGGAGGCAATCGATGGATGTTTCTCTCCAACATCGATGTTTCTCTCTCTCTCTAAAAAAAATCAATAAAAACATATCTTCAGATGAGGATAAAAAACAAACAAACAGTGAGTTCAAAATAATCTTTGCCATGCCAGTCAGTAATAATTGCCAGGACCCACTGCATATTTATCATCTCTGGAGCTGTCCAGTCATTTTACATGTACAAACTTACTCGGTTTCACAATAGTCCCGTAAGTTAGGAACCCCCATGTTATTGATAAAACTAGAGAGGCTATGCAGCTTGTGCATGGCATATATAATGGGAGCAGCAAAGCCAGGATTCAAACTCAAGCTGCCTGGCCCCAAAACCTTCACTTTAAAACACTATAGAAATTTACACTGTAAGCAAGAATTTTATTTCAGTAACAAATCACCATCCATCACATTAATGCTGTAAATTGAATTTTTTTGATTTTGCAGTTTCATTTGTATCTAATATAGGTTGTCCCCCAAAAATGTATGCACACACTTTGAATAATTATAAAGGCAGTGTTTATTAAAATACATTTCACTTTCAAAATTGAGCTATCAGCTGTTAAAGTGTATATACATTTTTGGGAAGAGACCCTGTATGTAACACACTAAAAAAAATTTAGAGTTGTATAAAAATATAAGGTGTTTATATATTGAAGTAGCGTTAAAATTTAAAAAGCAATTTAGTTAACTGCTACGTCACTGACAAGGCCTTTCTAGATGTGACTGATTTGCTACTTTGAATCTCCGTAATATGTAACCATCATAAAGTCAAACTAAATTCTGCCTTATATCATAATCCCTTTATGTACTACTGTAAACATCTTGGAGAGCCTGTATTGCAACTTATCATTCTTACCCCTATAATACCTAAATAGTGCGTTGAATAACACTTGAGTACAAGAAATGTCACATGATTTTCTGAGGGTTGGTTGCAGTGCACTCCCTGCAAACAGCCATAAATAACTACACGAAGTCTGACGGACATATTCTCAATATGACACAAAGCTGAAAAGCCTGTGCTCTATTAGCAGCTTTACCCACCGATGACTCAATGTGTATGTAATCTTGGTCCGCTGCTGAGCCTCCTTCTGCTAATAGGGAAGAAAGATATTGGTGACATCAGGCAAAAGAAGGTGCTATACAGGGTACAGGCACATTATGCTAATTATGCCTTTTGACCCTCCTATTTAAGCCTAACGGTATTCTAATATAAAAGGACTTTTACTCTATAACTGCTTAAAAAAATAAGCAAATGAAACTCCAAACAAGAGGCCTTTTAGAAATGCAAAGGGAATTTCTTTTTTAAAGAACCATTTTTCATCCTTTGCCCAAGGTAAACCAGCCCTATAAAACAAATTATGATTCTTTCTCTCTTGACAATGTCATCTCTACTCCAAAGACAAATTTGATTTCTAATATTTAGCTCCTCTAAGCGTTTTTACAGATTCCAGCTCATTATTGATTAACCACTGAGTTCTGTAAGCTTTATCCCTAAATATATGTGACATCCTTTTTTTAAAAAAATCATCATCTTTACTCATATAGACCAGAGGATCTCAATGTGGTCCCAGAATCAGCAGCATTAGCATTACTCTGGGAACTTGTTTAACGTGGAAATTATTAGGCCCTATCCTATATTCTATGCTTTAACCAAGCCCTCCAGTTGATCCTGAAGTTTACGTTAGCTCTAACCCAAACTGTCTGAAATTGTCTTCTAACTGGTTTCCATACCCCGTCTACTGACTCTAGATATGTATCTTAATATATACTCTATGCATCCACAGATTTCATCAGTGGTTTTCCATTTACTGGAGTAGTGATTTTTTTAAAAAAATATGGGTCTGTTGACCTATTACAGATGATAGTGAAGGCAATCCAGTAGGTCAAGACCAGTATTGAATTTTTTTAAAGTAAAATTAGAAGCAAACACAATATATCAGAAATCATCACATACAGGATTATTTTGTTAAACTTTCCTTCAACTGTGCATGTGTGTGTTTGTGCGCACATACACACGTATATCTCCTATTACAGTTGATAACTGAAAACGTTTGAAAGACATTTGCCTAGAGCAGTGCTTCTCCTACTTTATTCACTCTCACCCAGGGATCTCGTTATAATGCTGGTCAGGGAAGGTTCCGGAGACTCTGCATTTCTAACAGGTTTCCATGTGATGGCCAGACAGTCTTGGACCTCACTTCTAGTACCAAGAGCTATTCAAATGAGAAATCTTGGAATACTGCTAAACTTGCTACTTCAGCTTCCAGAATTCATGGCATAGTAGGTTTTATTGAACCTGAGATATGGCAGATTTATAATATGCTAGAACATTTTACTAAATGTTCAGAGAATTGGGATAGTGGTGTTCTAGGTGTTCTGATGGGAAAACATAAAAATTTTTGCTTTAACTATGGTTGTTAGCAGTCTTTAAAAATGAGTTTCCTATTTCCTGGAAACTTAGGAAATGAATAAAATGAGTTAAAATTAGTTTTCTTTGATGAGTAATAATTTTGAATTGCCTCAGGATAATCTAACATTATCTCAGGATGTTAGTTACAGGAACTCTATAGGATAATATAAATGTGTATGTAGAAGATATAGAAAAAAATGGGCTCAATTTAATAAGCACTGGCCTCAGATTACACTCTGGATATTTAAATGTTTAACCAAGATCCTGAAATGAACTGCAATTGGGGGGAGGGGATGTCTCTTTTTTTTAATCAAAGTTGAAGGGGGGGAAATTATCCAGTTCCAATTAGTCAGGACCAACCAAAAATGTCAATCATGCTAGAATTCATTCACAGAGCAACTAACTTACTAGATGCTTACTCTGTGCCAGCTACAGACCTACAAGCTGGGGACACAGAAACGGGAAGACAAAAGTACCTTCTGGAGAGGTGCTTTGTCTAAAGGATTCTGTATATTTCAATGTCTCTGCAGCTGATTGGATGAGGATTTCTGCTGGGTCTTTCCTATTGATTTCTAGATAAGGGCAGAAACAAGACTTTCATTTTTTCTTTTAATTTTCCATAGCACCTGGCACAGTGCTCTGCAGGCCAAGTACAATAGTTGATAAATGTTAATGACTACTCAACTCTTTCATTCACCAAATTAATAAGTGTACTTGAAGAGAATATGAAATGCAGCTGACTAATGGCCCAATCTGTGCCATTTTTGTTATCTAAGAGATTTGGTCAAAATGAAACATTCATCTGTGCATTATAATAGCCAGCTATATCACCCTGAGCTTTATAAAAATGCATAGTTCACTGAGGATTGACTATGCTTGACTACCCACCTCCCTTCATTTAGGCAGACACATGGGAGAAATGAGAAACCTAAACAGATTCCTTTCCCTCCCTCCCCCCACAAAAATAAAACTTCTCCAGATTCTCTGGTAACCTATACAGATATTAAACCATCTTTACCATCACACACAAAAAAAGTGAACTTTGGGTGATGAATCTCCAGTCCTCAGCTCAGCTTCAGGTCTGTTCTTCTATTGAAAATACCTGCTTTTGTTTCATGGGTATCGGATGTAACAGGGCCTTCAATCTAAAATATCATTTACATCCATTAAAGTTTTTCTTTCTTTTCAGTTTAAATCATCCACAGTGATCACACAAAAAAATAAATTTCACTTTTAATGAAAAAGGGAAACTGCAAAATGAATTATGCAGTTATTTAATTTAGGAACTTGAAAGTAAGATAAAACATGGGTATTTAGGGAGAAATGCAAAGATTAAATTAATAGTCAATAATACAAGAAATCTAGATCACTTAATGATACTGCTAGTAGTTATCTAAAATGGATATGTGCTCAGGAAAGGGCATATTCTTAGTTTTATTATCTGGCAAAAGTTACAAGAAAGAGTTGGGGTATATTTTACAACATGGACCCATGTGAGGAGAACAGAAAAGCCCATACAGAATAAACGGGAATATAGACTAATAAATAATTTAGCATCATTTTATGGAGACTCCAAAGCCAATAATAAATAAGTACTTAAGTACATCAAAGGGATAAAGTGAGCTAATGCACAGATGTAACTGTTTAAGGATTAATGGATAACTAGTTCACTTTAGGATATAGAGGGAACAGGATGGTGAGACAAGAAAGTCACTAATTCTTAAGGAATGGGATCTAGAGGAATTTGGGAGCAAACTCTGGGAAGGGAAACTGGTCAGTGAATATAAACCTAGACAGAATGGACAGGACAGCTGGCCTTTCCCACCTATACCGGCTCCACTGTTTCCTTTTTCTCTGTCTCCTGTATCTCTCTCCATCTCTGATTGCATATTCCTCTCCTTTCACATGTCTTTTCCTCAACTGGACAGAATATAAGCGTGAATCATTCTTTGTACTGTGTTTTATATATATTTGTAATATTTACTATCTTCTATAGATTTTTGTAATAGTTCTTGTATTTTGATAAAGTGAAATCCTCTTTGCTATAAACTTTAAAGTCGAACGAGCTAAGTTATTTAGACATCTACTTTTCTCATGACATTTATCTCCTACCCTTTTTAAAAACTTGAGTGGCCTTCCAATTTCTTTCTCTTTGAGGCAATGGCCCATATAAAAAGGGCTCATCGTCTCAGCTTATGTCTAACAAATTCTCTCACATTGAGGTTTATGTCGTCCCCCCCCCCCGCCTTATCCAATTTTATCCCTTTATAAAAAGACTAATTTCAGTTTCTATATAAAACCATACCTAAAATCTACTATTAATTCACCATGCAACTTTCTGTTTAGGATAACTAGTCCTAGCTCCTTGTTTACCTGTTAGGAGGCAGTATAGTATACTGGCTAAGAGTACAGGCTCCAAATTCACAGACCTAATTTTAGTCCTCTGCCACTTACTACTTGTGTGACCCTGGGCAAGCTGCTTGACCTTACCAAGCCTCAACTTTCTTAGCTGCAAAATAGGCACAATAATTGTACCCACCTCACAGGGTTACTACAATATTAAATAAGTTTAAAGTTCTCAGCATATTGCTTAGCATATAGTGCTCAAAAACTGCGGACCATTCTAATTTTTCAATAGGCCTTTAACCCAAGCTTTTCAAATAAGGCTTTCTTCTTAACCCCTATACTTTTCAAGTCCCTCTTATGTCAAAATATTGGACCGTATAGTTTCTAACTACATGCTATACCTTTTATTTTAACCCACTCTCAAGTTTTCCTTTATGTACCACTCAAGTTGATTTCCTATTTTCAGAATGTCTTTCTTCTTGGAGCAGTAGGATATAATCTGCTTCTTAACTTCTCAATATCCTTTGAGATAAAAGGTAGATTATCATTGTCTCTATCTCAACAGATTAATTAATAGGGTCTAGAAGCTTAATGGACTAAAAAGAGGCAAAATGGTCAGTGAGAAGGACTAAAATGGGAAATTACCATTCATGATACTTTATTACTATTCTGATCAGCTAACCTTGCTGGGTTTGCCTGAATTTACTAACTTGTTTTATTTGTTAGATACATATTTAACACTGTGCTAGAATGTAAAAGGTTAAAAAAAGATCGATCTGGTCCCTGACTTGAGGAACTTCTAGAAAACAATAAAATTAATGGTTACTATGCAGTAAGGGTCTTTACTACAGACATTAACAAAGTTGAAATGGGAGCAAGCACAGTGGACAGATATCCAAATCAGATAGCATCCCAATTCTTTATCATAATAATGGGTGAAAAGGAACTCTGAGTCTAAAAAGAACACTTAATTCCTACCTTCACTTTTTTGCCACTTGTGGTATAAAGGGAGACATATTAATTTTTTAATCTACAAGGAGGAAGAGGGAAAGTACAATGGAAGAACAACCAACATTGTGGATTTTAAGTATCTCCCTCTACCAACCAGTCCCTCAACTCTCCCTGTTTCATGTTTTTAAAACTTGGGTAAGTAACTTTACATTCTGGACTTACTTTTGCTTTGTCTATCAAGCAAGTTAATATACTCCATATTCTATGATAAGTCTGGAAAAGATGACTGATCAAGGTCCCTCGTATTGAACTCTACAAATTGGATATTTTCTGATCCAAAAAGGCAGGCAGGAATCTTCCCAAGGAAGGGGTTAGGAGTAGGAAGTAGGGTCTAGGGAACAAGGGACAGTGAAGGAGGCCGAAGCCAGTTCTCACCGAAAGGATCTTATCACCCTCCTGGAGCCGCCCATCCAGGGCCGCAGCCCCATTCTCTTTGATGCGGCTGACGTAGATGCCACTGTCGTTGGAGACATACTGCTGATCTGTCCCACCGACGATGTTGAAGCCCAGCCCTGAGAAAATCATGGAGGAGTTGTGAAGGAGATAGGGGTGAAGAAAAAGAAAGGGATTAGAGAAGAAGAAAGTAAAGAGAGGAAAGGCCTAGTAGAGAGGGGAGGCTGGTCAGTCAGACTGATGTAGCTGGTGAATATTCGGGGGCAAGGTCAGTGACTCTATCACCAAGAGTGCTCAAGCGTATCTAGAACTGCCCACTCAGATCAGGTAGAAATAAAAATACAAACATAGTGGTCAACATGGTTTGTTGAATATAAAAAGAAAGACCTATGTTAACTCAGTGAAAGAATAATGGTGATTCTGATAAGATGTGCTTCTGTTCACATTTGATTCTGATTCTGTTGATGGCACTCAGTGGACCCAATTCTTGACTTTCCTTTTATTAATGTAACAGGGTTAGCTGTGTCCAAGAGAAGAAGCTATGCATTTAAATAATTAGCAAATAAACCGTTCTTAATTTAGTAGAAGAGAGATTACTAACCAAACTTTACTTTCCATACTTCTCCCAACCTTTGGGAGAATTTGTGTATGGTGGTATTTTGGAAGAAATGGTCTTGGTAGTCTTATTTATTTTTTCTATTTTGAGTTGAGGGGGCAGTAGTGTAAGTGTTGGAAGGAAACCTGGGAAATAGAAAGGTAACTGATGCTTCATGATAAAACTAAATTGCCAAATTCACTCTTCTTTCCTTTTCTACCTCAAGTGCAAACAACCATGTTCTTGGGTACAGTGATTGCTAAGTTTTATTTGCAGTAGAAAACTGACTGAATGATTAGCAATTCCCCATTTCTGCTTCTCCCCCGCCCCAGGTAACCATCATTCTTTCTATTCTTTGCTTCTAGGAGTGACTATTTTAAATGGACGTAAAATTTCAGTTACACAAGATTAAGTTCTAGAAATCTGATGTAAAACACTGTACAGATAACAATAGTGTATTGTACACTTAGAAATCTGTTAAGAGCCCTAGCCAGTTTGGCTCAGTGGATAAAGTGTTGGCCTGAAGACCAAAGGGTTCCAGGTTCGATTCCAGTCAAGGGTACATACCTCAGTTGCAGACTTCTCCCTGGCCTGGGCCCTGGTCAGGGCGCGTGCAGGAAGCAACCAATCTATGTGTTTCTCTCACATCGATATTTCTCTCTGTCTTTCCCTCTCTCTTCCACTTTCTCTAAAAAAAATCAATGGAAAAATATCCTTGGGTGAGGATAAATAAATAAATAAAAACTGTAGTGTTGATTACATAACTCAATCATAATTTTTTAAAAATATATTTTTATTGATTTCAGAGAGGCAGGGAGAGGGAGAGATAGAAACATCAATGATGAGAGGGACTCATCGATTGGCTGCCTCCTGCATGCCCCTACTTGGAAAGAGCCTGCAACCTGGGCATGCGCCCTTGACTGGAATTGAACCCGAGACCCTTCAGTTCGCAGGCTGACGCTCTATCCACAGAGCCAACCCGGCCAGGGCTCGTAATTTATTTTTAAAAAATCTGTTAAGAGAGTAGATATCATTTAAATGTTTTTAACACAAATAAAACAAAATAAACCTGACTACCAAAGTACTATTTCCATGTACCAACCATTAAATTGTGGGAAGAATTTCAGTTTATTAAAACCATTGTTATAAAGGGATTTTATCTATGCAATAAGAAGAAAAGGAACTTCTCTAGGATTTTCTTTATGTCAAGTACTGTAGAAGTGAAAACACAGTGCAAAGAGAAAGGAGATAGTTTAGAAACAATTAAAAAATCAAAAATCTGGTAGTACAATTGGCAGGAATAGCCATAATTACTAGCCTACTTACTGGTTTCAATAGAAAGCAGATACTTAAAGAGGCATATGTGGGCTTTCTGAAAGTTCTCCTCACTGGCGGGATGAGAACTTACATGTAAAGCTCATAATATTAATATAAGCACTAGAAAATTAATCTGTGATTTAAGAAAATGCATGGCTGAAGAGAGAAGCAGCAGGAAATATTTCACTTAAATCGCATAAGTTGTGCACAGAATATCTGCAGCTAGAGAATGAAAAGAAGGATTTAAGATACATGACAGGAGAACTTCTGGAAAATGACTATTTCAACTTCCTTGAAGGGTAGGGTATAAAAAATTTAAATTTACTAAGTGATTTCTCTTAGAACACTCTTAATTTGTGTTATCGTGGGTGGCAGGTATTGGAAAGGGGCTGGTGGAGTTCTTTGAGATAAGATGGAAAGGTAGGTGGAGCCTACTTTATGGAAGGCTTTGAAATGACTTCAAAACTGTGACAGGTTTACCCTAGATGGCTCAGTGGATAGAGCCTCGGCCTGCAGACTGTCAGGTTAGATTCTGGTGAAGGGCACATGCCCAGATTGCGGTCTCAATCCCCAGTAAGGGGGCGTGCAGGAAGCAGCCAATCAATGATTCTCATCATTGATGTTTCTATTTCTCTCCCTCTCCCTTCCTCTCTGAAATTAATATAAATATTTTTTAAAAAAACAACTGTGAGCCGAAACCGGTTTGGCTCAGTGGATAGAGCGTCGGCCTGCAGACTGAAGGATCCCGGGTTCGATTCCGGTCAAGGGCATGTACCTGGGTTGCGGGCACATCCCCAGTTGGAGGTGTGCAGGAGGCGGCTGATCGATGTTTCTCTCTCATCGATGTTTCTAACTCTCTATCTCTCTCCCTTCCTCTCTGTAAAAAAATCAATAAAATATATTTAAAAAACAAAAACAAAAAAAACCCAACTGTGACAGGTTTGAGCAAGGTGGCTCAGGGCAATTAGCCTCTCTCAATACTGGAACAAACTATTTGGAGAAAATCTTTCAATGAAATCCAACATCCTAATCAAACACTACTACAGCTGCCACTAGAAATCTTGGGTAGAAAGCAGGTTTTAAGCAGATGAATGCAATATAGTAGTAAGAAAGAGGAGGGGCCCTGGCTGGTTTTCTCACTGGTTAGAGCAGGGGTCCTCAAACTACGGCCAGCGGGCCACATGCAAATACAAATATTGTATTTGTTCCCGTTTTGTTTTTTTACTTCAAAATAAGATATGTGCAGTGTGCATAGGAATTTGTTCATAGTTTTTTTTTTTTAACTATAGTCCAGCCCTCCAACGGTCTGAGGGACAGTGAACTGGCCCCCTGTTTAAAAAGTTTGAGGACCCCTGGGTTAGAGTGTTAGCCCGCACACTAAAGGGTTGAGGGTTCAATTCCCAGTCAAGGGCACGTAGCTTGGAGCAGGCTCAATCCCTGGCTGGGAAAGGGTACATGTGGGAGGCAACCAATCAATGTGTCTCTCTCACATTGATGTTTCTCTCTCTCCGCCCCATCTCCTTTCCAGTCCATCTAAAAGCAATGGAAAAATATCCTCAGATGAGAATTAAAAACAAGGGAAGAAAGAGGAGGAACTTTGCTACTGGTTATTCAAACCTACAGAACAGTGTCTAAAAAAGAATGGAAGAAATCTTACTGAAATTTCCTAAAAATAAACCAGTGCAATCTATTCCCTCCAGAAATCCCATCATACAGGCATGTTGATAACCTATTGCTGCTTCAGTTGTAAATGAACCACACCACTTAATATGAAAACTCCTGGACTGATGATAGGAAATCCCTTTCTTCAGCCAGAACATTTACAGAACTGAACTTGTGACCGGGTCAGAAGACCAGGATCACAAGTTATAATTCAAAGCACTACTGTAATAAACAGAAGTCACCAAAGTACTGAGTAGCAGCAACATTACCAATTCAAACCTGGTCCATTAAAAATCTACATAATCCCCAGTTCACGTGTCCATTAAAAATTACTGGTGATTGGCCCTGGCTGGGTAGCTCAATTGGTTAGAGCATCATCCCAATATGCCAAGGTTGTGGGTTCGATCTCCAGTCAAGGCGAGCACATACAAGAATCAACCAATGAATGCATAAGTGGAACAACAAATCACTGTTTTTTTTTCTCTCCCTCTAAGAAATACATAATAATAAATCAATAAGTAAATAAAAAATTACTGATTGACCATGTGTCAGGCACTGTGTTATGTTCTGAGAAAGACATAAAGCTAAACTAGACAGTTCCTGCTTTAACCATAAACAGAAATTTACTCCTTTTCCTATCCCTTTTAGATTTTGCAAAAGCGAATTAAAATCTGACCGGGTCACAAATTAACCCCATAACTTAACAGATATGTGGACTAAAAAAAGTCACTGCACCTCTGATCCACAGCTTTCTTTTCTGTAACATAAGGATTATAATTGTTACCCTCTCTAACTCAAAAGGTAGTTGTTAGGATCCAATTATCTTAACAAATCTGAAAAAAAAAAAAAAGCCTTATAAACTAGAATTGCACTAAGAGTAGTTGTTAATGAACTAGTAGTACCTGCTTACAGCCCCAAACCAGACAGTTTGATGGAGAAAGAATGAATAACTATACAGTACAAATGTGAATAAACCTGAAATATAGAAAAACAGAGAGATTAAAAAGTCCATCCAGCCTGCTGGTGTGGCTTGGTGGTTGAGTGTCGACCTATGAACCAGGAGGTCACTGGTTCAATTCCTAGTTAGGGTACATGCCCAGGTTACGGGTCCAATCTTCAGTAGGAGACATGCAGGAGGCAGCCGATCAACGCTTCTCTCTCATCATTGATGTTTCCATTTCTCCTGCTCCCTTCCTCTCTGAAATCAATAAAAAGTGTATTTTTTAACAGTCCATCCATCCATTAATAGGACAAGACTGGACAAACTCAAACTTTAAGTATGTCTATAACCTGTAACCCAGACATTTCTCCTCATGAGTAGTATCTACAAAGAGTGGTATTTAAAATAAGCAATAATCAGTCCAGCACATGCACCAACCAACTGCAAGAGATGTCAGCTGGAAACAAAAAGGGAAAGACCATCCCAGTACATATCTGTTGATTATCAGCTGTGTTTTAGAACAATCTGCCATAAACAGGGTGGACCACATTTCCTGTTGGTTTAGGAGTCTTAATATACTCCTGTAATCAAAATATTCCCCTTCA